AGATTAATTTGTAAGTTTATTATAAAGAAGGATTTAGCAAGTTTTTTCAATAAATAATAAAAAAAATTACAAGGTTATCACAAGTCCTCACAAAATATGTTTAATTAATAAAAATTTAAGCATGAATATCATAAGTAATTAATATTTATCATATCTAACGATGTCATAAATTCTCAATTTTTTTAAACAATTAAGATGTTGTTTATCTTTTATTGATCGTAAAGTATAGATTCGTTCTTTTCTTGGAGTCTTATGACAAGTACTTGCAAAACAAAATCCTTCTTTTGGTGTTTAGAGGATAATTTGATGGTTAAGTTAACGGTTAAAATAAACAGAGAGTTATTTGCTTTGATTAGACTTAATTAATAATAATTTTTTTTTAGTGAGTTTGATCTAAATAGACTTACCAATGTGTTTTTTTCCTATATTTGAAAAGATATACAATATTATTTTGTATAATGTGAAGAGTGTTATGTTAGTTTTTATATAATGGTGGGAGATGATCAACTTGCATATGGGCATGTTCATCTTTATCTCACGGATTAAAAAAAGTCTTTCCGTCTATTTGTGCAACAACTTCTGACTTGAATTTTTGCAAACGGAATATCCTTCCAAGTGAATGAATTGTGGGATTATAAGTATCATCGCTTCTAACAGTGCCATATGGAGCGATGTTTTAATTTAATCTTTGTTTTTTATGCTTCTTTCTTGTAGGAGGAAAAGTAAACCAGGAGATTGGTGATGAGTTTCCCACACGAATGTTCCTTGTTGTGGGGTTTCTTTGATACATGGGATTTGTATAGGCATATTTAGAGTCGGTGGATCTTTTCTTCACAAGTTGACGAAAAACATTATCAGGTCATATCTTTGCATGTATACCAATATCAATATGTTAGAGTTCATGCAATAAGCAACTTATAATTATAAATTAAAAAAAAAAAACAATTAGACTAAGTTAATATACAAAAGTAACCAAAAAAAAAAAAACTTCAAAAAACTTTTCTTAGATAACTCCTCTTCTAACCTCTTAGTTTTTTTTTTTTTTCATCGTCTAATTAAAATGTAAGATATCAAAGAGAATGTCTGTCAAATTTAAAACCATCAATATTTGTGGGTTTTTTTAGGTCCTGGATCTGTATTATGATTTTTTTTATGATATTTCTTTCACTCTTTATAAATTTTAGTTTGGTTAATTTATTGTTATTTCCTATTCATCATGAATGATAAGAGTAAAAAAATTAATACAAAATTACTATACATTTTCCACTAGTGAAATGATATAATTTCAAAGAAGGAAACGTCAAGCGATAAGCAGAAAAAGGTTTTTCATAAAATTTTTTTATATATTATGATGGATAATAGCCGTTACAGTGAAGATAACGTCCGATAAGTGTATAACAGACCCTACGAGTAATTTTATCTAATTTTAAAAACTAAAGAAAAATATTTTTCCTACATTCAGATTTGTTTTTTTTAGATTTATTGGTTCAAACATTCTCCTAAAATACTATCAATCGGTAATCAATATATAACATTGTAAAATAAGAAATTTTAAAAAGCGAAATAACGTATTGATCATTGATCGGTGGAGTTATAACATAAAGTCTAAAACAAAAAATAGAAAATCTCAATCAAGTTAAGAGAATCAAAGGATTTCAAAAGAAAATCTCTTATAACACTATTGTCCAAGTAATCGACATATATCATTGTAAAATAAGAAATTTTAAAAAAGCATAGATAAAGCATCAATCATTAATCAATGGGGTTATAACATAAAGTCAAAAAAAATAAAAAATGGAAGATATCAATCGAGCTAAAAGAATCAAAAGATTTCAAAAGAAAAAAGAAAAATGCAACGTTCAAATTTAATATATATATATATATATGACATTGAAATCAAATTCACTGCAATGCCCGATTTTCCACATCATTTTCACATGTAATATTTATATATTTTTATATCTTCTACATTTTTATAAATAATATGAACGCTACAATATTTGAATTTAACATTTTCTTGTTTACATTATGTAAATAAGCAAATACATTAGTGTTTGGTTTCTATCCCAAAATAGAAGGGATTTGGGACAAAATCCTGTTTTCCGGCGAAAAATAAAATGTCACATAAATGAAGCCAATTTGTGTCTTTCCAAAAAGGAGGGACATAAGAGACATGCCGTAGAAACATAGATTAACAAACTTTTTTTTTCTTTCAAGAATTTCCCTAAAACATTTCAAAATTCCCATTCTATCCATATCTTCAATTCTAAACCATTAATTTGACAATAGTTAATTTTCACCATTTCATTTGAAAACTAAAAAATATAAATGAAAAATTCATAAAAATAACTAAAATAATAGAAAAAGAGAAACAAAATAATTCTTTTATCCCAAACTGATATTCCCTTTGATTTTTCACACAAGTTAAGAAATTCATTAATTATAATGTCATATCTATATAAGAAGAAGAAAACCTATTTAATTTAATCCCATATTATAAAAGAAGAGTATCTTAAAAAATATATTATTAGAAACCTTTGATTCAAAAAATATTTTGAGACATATATAAATAATATTTTTCTTGAAACTTAAAAGTAAAGAACAGGAAGAAGAAATTCCATTTGGCCACAAAACCGGACAATACCATTTAAGGAAAGCTTCTCTCGCAACTCAACATTTTTTTTTTTTTTTGAACAGGGGAATTAACAGAAAAAACAAAAGTAAAATGATCAGTTTTTATTTATTATACTATTTAAAATACTATTCAGTCATATTTGATTCGTACTATTTGCCAAGACTCAAATATATTATTTTATTTTACTATACGAGTGGTATTTTTATAGTTTTTAAATATTTTAAAGATATTTATTATGAAAGTTTTCATAATATTACACTTTGTTCTCCTTTTCTTTCAACTTTTTTTTTAATTTGTAAAAATATTTTTTGTTAATTTTTGCCCCTCTTATTTTATTTTATTTTGATCACTTTGGTCCTTTCTTTTTTTTTCTCTCTCTCTAATTTTTTTTAATTGAAAATTTTAAGGCAAAAAAAGTTTAGAAAAAAATAATTTACAAAATAAGTTTTGAGCTAAGAATCTATTGATTTTGACATTTTTTATATTATTACAAATTTTATAGTTTGTGGATAGAGATAAATAAATAATATTTTTAATAAAATTTAAAAAATATAAAAATATAATCATTCAAATACAATATTTTGATTAAAAATGATAAAATTAAATGAATTTTTATTCAATTTTGATTTAATATATTTTGTTATATATATAATATAATATGAAACATCAATTTAAAATAATTTTTAAATAATAATTTTATGTGTTATGTTCAATCTACAGCATAACACATAACACGGATAAAAAAAAATCTAGTTTTCATATAAAGGGAAATTGAATCCCAGTACAAAAGAGCCTCGAAGCTTGAAAGGGGTTGCTAATGTGCATAAAAATTGTTTTTACATTGTTTGGCAATCTAATCTACCACTATTAACTTTTTTACTGAAAAAAATTACAGAATAATTTGTTATTGTACCGTTAAGAGCTTTTTTTTAACAAAGAGATTAAGAAGAAGATTGTGAAAGAAAATGAAGAAAAAGGTTTTAGGAGAGAATTCTCATTTGATTTCTTGTTCGAAATGAATTGAACGAATTCCATAATTCCTTCCTTCCTCCTTTATTCTAACCATTAATTGACGAAGCTAGCTCATCTAACACCGTAACTATTTGCCACATGAGCAATTAATATACAGCTGAACCCTAATTCTTAGTTCCTAACATGTAGGAAGGAGATGTTTAACATCAGCTATTATGGCTGCAATTTCCCATGAAGCTTTGCTGTAATGATTGTGTATAGCTTTCACCAGTATTTTCGATACAAAAAATCATACAATTTCATCCCTAATATTATCCCCTTTTCAGCCCGCTGGTTCCATATAACTATCTTATCATAGATTTCAAAATCATACTATATACATCACTCATTCAAAATATTCTTTTATTAAGAATTTTTTTTCTTTTTTTATTTGTGGCTTTTAGACGTTTTATCTATACAAACAGAATCTTCTGCCTTATGCTCCTCATGGACCATATAGAGGGAGACACCTCCATTGTTTTCGTCCCATCGTATAGCCAGAACTTTCATACAAGATCGCAATTGCTCCAATCGCCATTTAGGAATACCGATTTACCACATTGGGTTGTCGTGGGATGCTGTTTGATTTGATCTCCTTGACGCCTCCTCCGCACCAACTCCTTAACAAGGGTGGCTGAAAATGTGCTCAACTCCGTAACGTCGTATTTCCATGGCTCCACCCACATGTTGCCCCATGAAAAAGCGTTTTGCAGAGATAGAGTCCACACCTTGCATGATTCCTGACAATCAAACATTCGAAGTCACTCAACTTACTCTAAACTCGAAGATGCCATTTTTCGTGAATGGGAAAGCTATGTCATGTACAACTTTTGTACACCTCTCTTGCTTTAACCTAAAGCACATGGACGATGGGTGCATAATAGCATTTATCCCCCATTATGTCGTTAATAGGTAGTATTCATCATGAATAAAAATCCAAATGTAATTACTACAATTTTCAAGTAACAAGAATAATAAAGATGGAAAAGGAATGAAAAGGAAATAAAGATGCTAGGAGTGGAGTGCTTGGAAAAGAAGCTCTTTGAAACCTCTGCCATTGCTTGGATTAGAATCAAAGTTAGGACACTACCCAGGATCAGAGAGAGGGAGAGGGAGAGCTGACGTTTACGTCAAACTTTCAGGGCAAAAATTCAAAACTCTATTCTATTGCTTTCCACTAGACTTCCCACCTCACCCAACTACGAAAGAGGCCTCTCAACTAGAAAAGAAACAGAGGAACACCCTGTTCTGTGCAAGAAAAACACCACAACAATGTAAACAGACTCTTCCTTTTCTTCCTTTTCTGTCTGAAGAATTAGAGGTTTGGAACTTGGTTCCAACACAGAGGAACAATATGGCTAAGAGATCCGATTTTGCACAGAAGCTGTTAGCCGATCTCCGTTCGAGGAAGGAACGAATGGCTGTATCTCAGAGCTCAAAAGGTTCAAAATCAGCAGCTCCAGGCGAGTATTCTATCAAATTTCACACCATTTTTTAAACTCAAATACAAATTGAAATTTAGAAGGCTTAAGCAAGTGAAACTTATGGTTTAAACCATTCAAATACAAAGTTGCAAAATGAAAGATGAATTCCTGAGCACACACAACACGAAAAGCCTGTGGTCCTTGTGCCTCTAAACACGAAGAAATGCATGCTTTTCCATCATCACTTCAATTCTCAGAAGTATAAAATCAGTCTTTCCCTAGTAGAAAGTAACTTCAGCGTGAGTTAATGAGGTTAGTAACTAGGTCTCTAAACTGGACTTTCTATTATGTCAATGGAGTGCAGGTATTAGGGATTAAGAGAAAGAATGCTGTGGCTATTAATAGTCAAAAAAATTTTCTTAGACACGTCACTGATACAGAAGCAGGACATGCCTGCCATCTCCATTTACCAACGATAATAATACAAGGAGCAAGAACCTAGTATCATAGTATAATTGGGCACTTGTGATGCAGTTTCCCAACCAAAAAACATGGCTTTTGTCTTGTGATATTCTAAAAATGCTCTATTCCAATAGAATCTAGAAAGAAGCAGAAACTTGATGAAATAAGTGGCCAAGGAGAAGATGAAAGGAAACCAAATAAACACAGATGTTTTCTATAGTGGGAGCTGGAAACTGGATGAGAAGAAATAGTGTTAGGGTATGCAAGGAGAGTGCTTTTATTTTCAATACTAAAAGAAAAAGCAAGTGAAACAATGATCATCTAAACTAGGTAGTGGCATCCAGTCTTCTACCATAAAAAAATTCCTGCATATCTTCATCAAAGGATAGTATGTGCGTTGCAGGACTAGGAGCTTGAATATTTCTAAGTATGATCATTGTTTTCTCTGCATCATGTGCTTGTGCAGATGTGTATGCTTATTCTAAGCAAACTTACAGAGGATCCAGAGAAATGAAGACCCATAAAAGTGTAAGTATCACGACTCAAGCTCATGGCAGTTGTGGGTATTATAAATTTCCAATTTACTCAAAACTGTTTCATGACCACAGAATGGCCTTAGAAGTGGAAATATGCACAATAGAACTAGTGGAAGCAATAAATCACTCTCTATGGGAGAAGCTTCAACAGAGATTGTTCCATTTGGGAGAGGTCGAAGCGCGGAACAAATAGGAGATCTGTCCATGGCACTTGCTTTTGCCCTCGAGAATGGTGGAAAAATAAGAATGGATTCGTCTGGCAATAGTTCAATGTTAGGTTTCCTGCATCAGATTGGCAGAAGATCAGTGGAAGTTGCCAAGATGGAAAGAAGTGGTATTGATAGGCATCACTCTTCAAGTAACCAGTTTCCTACCTTCTCCCATCTCCACATCAAAGAAATATCCAAAGGTGCACAAAAGTTAAATCAGATCCTGAGAGCTTGTTCAAATGGCCTTAACTTTGAATCTTATTCAATAGAAATTGGCAAGGAACTACTCAAAGGGGCCATGGATTTGGAAGAGTCCTTGAGGATGCTTGTAAACCTGCAAGAAGCTTCAGAATACATGGTCAGCACACAGAGCAAAACTCGCATCACATTGCTTGATGAGGATGAAGATGAGGATGACAACTCTGTCAGAACAGCTGAGCATAACCAACTTGCTCTGCCAAAGTTCTCCTTTGACAGGCCCTCAAGAAAGTCTCATTACATCCAGCAAGTTGCAAGGACAGATCTCAGGCAGAGAATAATGGCTCTGACTTACTCATCGGAAGCTACAAATTTCAACCATGATAAGCACCATCTAAGTACCTTAAATTCAGTTTCCCACAAGAAATCATCTAGCTATGGCTCAACATCAAAAACTTTAGCAGCATTATCCGAACAGAAGAATCAGTCGAGTTCATCAAAATCCAATCCAGAAAAGGCAAGAATTCCAAATGTAATTGCAAAACTAATGGGCCTGGAGGAACTTCCAGAAAATGAAGATTCAAAGCACACTAAGAAAGAGTCAAGTTCGAAGCAGAAAACTGGAAGGAGTGTCACAAATAAATCTGCAGAAGGAAGCTCTACACGTGAACGCAAGACAAAAGATGCTGAGAATTCAGTACCCACAGTAAAAAAACAAAAGCAGATGCAGCCCAGCCAGATAAAGATGCTTCAGGACCCAAAATATGCCTTGCAAGCTGAAAAGGATCTGCCAAATCACCATGCTAGCTTTGAAATGAAAACGCATGATGGAAAGCCACCCAAGAAGGAAGTGGAGGGGATAAAACCAGAGAGAGTCTCAAATAAAGCTAACGTGAAAATGGATAGGCACGAAAGCAACACCATCCAAATGAAACAAAGTACAGGAAAACGAAAGAATGCTCAGGATAGAGAGAGAAAACAAGATAATACTAAGACCAGGGAGCAGAGAGGGAAAGAACAAGGGGAAACAAGAGAACTAATCCGAAAGCATGAGCTGCAGCAAATGGCATCACCGGCACAAAATGGATCAGAAGCAGCAATTACCTTGCAAGGGAAAAAAGAGCACAATGCAAGCATGCTTAAAACAGAAAAGAGAGATGGAAACAGGTACCTTTCCAGCGATCAATCAAAGTCTTCCAATGATCTTGGATTCCAACAGCCTCACACATTCCGAAACTTTGAACAACGAGATATAAAGCATCACGCAGGAGAGGGAGAGTGGCAGATTGCTAGGCAGAAGATTCAAGATAGAAGTCAAAAAGGAAGTGAAGTACTGTCCAAGAATTTGCCCACCCCCGTGAATGACATTCTGAATTTCCAAAAAAGGCATTGGCAGGCAAACCAGGCAACTCCTAGTAGAAGTTCTAAAGAATCAGTTGATGAAATGCCATCCAAAGGGTTTCCAACTAACAGGCGCCATGAAGATCTTGGTTCTAATAATAACCACGTTAACATGCAATATACAATGACCAGGTACTCAAATCAAGATTCCTCCCCAGTAGATCCGATATATGATATGATGGAGAAAAGCAGCATTCCACCTATGAAAGAAAAAACAGCTCATCCACCAGCCACGCAGAAGGTGAGAAATACCAAGGGACAAAAAGCTGAGGCCCCTCGAAAGATTGACGAACTAGTGACAAGAAAGAGTGGAACCCCACACGGCTTAGTAAGGCCACAAAGACATCAAACTTCTGCATTGCAAGAAGGTAAGCAGAAAAGGTGCGGCAAACTTGGTGGATCCAAAGTCGAACAAGTGAGAGACATCAGGTGCAGAGAAGCAGAGGCACGCATTGTTAAATCCAGCAAATCAATGGCAAGCATCCAGCCATCGATTGTGTTGGAAGATCTGAATAGTAAACTTGAACAAGCTTCCAACTCCTACAGTTCCGTGGAAGATAAAAGCCAAATCCTAAACAGACCAAAAATCCTAGTTCCAAATGATAGCGTAAGCCCATTTGTTACTGCAATCCATTCATAAAATACCCTACATACTCGCACAAACTATACACGCCTTTTTGTCATAGGCGACAATTCTCGCTGCTTGGTTATGAGCTAACACAAGCTCTTTTTGGTGTTATGCAGGGTCAAAACACAATCTCAACAGTGACAAATGAGCAACAAGGTCACGAATTGGGAAGAGATCAACTGCAATCTCACAACTTTGTTTTGGACTCACTTAATGGTACGTACAACTTTGCATTATCTGTTTCACTTTCCAGATTATCTCTTTCCTCATTTACACCATTCTCCACATCAACCTCGTAGAATTAGTTTTTCCATATAAAATCTACCAACAGATCCTTGTTTGCGCTCAAACCAAACTTCTATCATTCTTCACTGTTGAAATGTTTGCAGAAACTCATCAGACCAGCAAAGATATCACTTACCCGTCACAAGTGGAGAACCAAAAAGCATTGAAATTGGAGACACCAGAGCCACTAACTGAGAGTGAAAATCACCTGAAGCAGATCCTGATAAAAAGTCAACTATTCCTTAACACAGCAGAGGCACTGTTCAATCTCAACATCCCTTTCGGCATTCTCCATGCTGGTAGCCACAACGACGAAAGCAAGCTCATATTAGACTGTGGATACGAAATAATGAAAAGGAAAGGCAAAAAGCAAGAGCTCAGCTTCCATCCATTCATGAAAACATCAATCATCTCTAATAAGGTAAAATCCTTGGACAACTTGATCAAGCAATTGCACAAAGACTTCGAGAAGTTGAAATTCTACGGTAGAAATGGTAATGCTGAATGTCTCGTCGAAGACTACCTACCGAAAATGCTCGAATGTGATGTGTACAACTGGGATTTCGATGTGAATTGTATGTGGGACTTCGGTTGGGACAAGATGCTGTTTCCATTTCTTGAAAACGATGATGTTGTAAGGGATGTGGAGAAGTTGGTGCTTAATGGACTACTTGATGAAGTTACCAGAGATCTTCTGCCGGTACATTAATTGTACCGAAGAATTATTACTCTGCAAAACTGTTTGAGCAGAGTTTTTTCTTTTAAAAATAGAATTTTGTGTGAATTGTAATGCTTATTTGCATAATTTTGTGTGTATAATACAAATGAAGTTCAACCAGATCACCTTGGTCTCAAAGAAAATTATTGGCAAATAGAAAAATAAATAGATATGAACAGAAAAATCTCTTCAGAAAACATACCTGTTGAAGTTTCCGGTGTTTCAAAGCAGTGTGAGAAACTCGAATTTCAGAATTTCACTTTTCCCCCTTTCCTCTCCGCTTTCTGGCCAGCCAAACAGACAATTGCTTCTCTGGGCCTTCAGAGGCGATTAAACGGGCTGGCCTCCAACTGTTTCTCCAATATCATGACATTTCAATTAATACAGATGATTATTGGCCTTGTTATTTTTTAGGTTCCATGAAGAGGCTCAAGAGGCCAAAAAAACAAACGGCCTTATTGGAAATTGATTATTATAATAAGGTAATGCTCCATTGTGTTCATAATATGTTTTTTATCATCCTTATATATCCATGAAGTTCATAATAAGGTATTTCTTATTAAACTAATTTTATCATCTTTATATATCCATGAAGTTCATAATATATTTTTTTGACAAAATTTTCAGATTAAATTATCAAAACTAGTCAAGTGATTTACATACTAGATTTTTTTTTTAATCTCATAATACTTTTGTAAATCAGATAAATGAAAAGCTTATATGTAAAAATCATTTGTTTAATTTTGATGGTTTGGCGTAAAATTTTTGTCATGAAAATAGATTTCAAACTTAATATATATTCGGTATTAAAATTAATTAAATTAAAGAATTATTCTATTATATAAAAGTAAATTAATTTAACATAAAATGGTTGATTTAAGTGTAAAAGACTCTAATCGTCTAAATAAGTAATTTCAAATTTGATTCATTACATACAAAATAGTTTTTATAAATAGTTGTATTTTCCTCATGTGTCTAATCGAATAACGAAAAATTAATCTGAAATTTTAAATCAGTAATCTCTCTATATAAAAAAACAAATCAAACCGTTAATGCTGACAAACTAAAGTCGCGGAAGCAATTCGAATGCTTAAGATTGATGGTTTTCAAAAGTTATACTTTATCTTTACATTATTCTAACGTTTCTTGTCCACCAATTATACCCATATCTGCTAAAGTAAGACTACCTTTGGGGTTCTTTTTCTGCAGTATCTATCTATGTGCTATAATTAAATGACAAACCCTCCTTCAATTTGAATATGCTATACTTTACTTCACTGGGAGCTCTTTTGTGCAGCGGAAATATGCTGTCCCCTTATGGGAAAAAGGTGAATGTTGTTTCTTAATAGCTAAGATTTCCTCCAGTTAGGTGATTAGCAGACATTGGGATATTTGTGTAACAAGAATCTGGTCTTAAACCCGGCTTTTCGTATCGTACTAGTATGCAAGAATCGGGTATACACCAAGGCCAAGCAAGTTTTCCTTTTTCTTTTTCTTTTTCTTTTTTTTTTTATCACTCCACGAGACTGGAAGCTTTTGACTCCGTTATCTTATGCTGACATCCACTTGAAGATTGATGTACTACTCCTGGTTTGTGAAATGGGTGAGTATATATATTTAGGTTGACCATACATTCCACTTGAAGCTTTTTCTCTTGAACCAATTCTCTTGAGTTCATCTAAATACTTTTTAAAAGTAGTTGAGTATATACCAAAACTTGCACCATAAACATAATAAAATCATACGATTTTTCAAAGAATTCGAATTTGCTTGATTTCTTAATAGCAAATTTTCGATTCATGTCACTGCCTGTAAAAATAATAATAATAATAATAATAATAATAAATAAGTAAATTATGGATTTTCGATTTGTTAAAATATTCATAGCCTGCTATTTTTACTTGTACTTCTCACAACATTCGATTCATTCGTTGGCATCTTCCTATGCAATGATGATGAAAAATAAATGCTTTTCTTAATTAGATCTTGCACTGTGCATCAGAATAGTTCTCTTTATTATACAATAATCAAACAAATTGAAATTATTAAGACTGGAATTTGTTTTATTAAAAAAACAACTATTAAATATATAATCGCTAAGTATAAGCCTATTATGGTGGAAGGTTAAAATTAATCAAAAAAATTTTAGGAGTTTACCCCCACAATTTGATCCCTATATAATTTGAATTTTTTTAATTAAGACCCTCTATGATTTTTCAATTTGATTGAAACTTTTTATTAATACAAATTTATTGATTCATACGTTTCATTAATTGTGTATCCGATTTGGCACGTTACAACTAGCGGCAACCAATCAAGCATAAACACGTGATATAGTAGGTCTAAAGTTATAGTTTTTGAGTCCGAAAAAAAAAAAGAATTAATAACTTTTTTAATAATGAACTAATGTTTAGAATTTAAAAATGAATGGAAAAGATATATTTGCCTCACAGTATTATCCCAAAATCCATAGAAAATATCAAAAACTTTTGTTTTTTTTCTTCACTATCTCTTTCTAAACACGAACTCCGCTTCTTCTTCTCCCCTTCCTCCAATCAAAACCCTAAATTTCCTAAATCTTCCCTCACTTACCTCCCATTTCTCCTTCTTCACAACTAGAACAACACCTTACCCTCCTCCTTCTTCACAACCGAACAACATCTCCTCCGATTTCATCCTTTTGAAACCATTTCCTCGGATCAAAACTCTTAATTTCCTAAATCTTTCAATCCCTCACTTACCTCTCCTTTCTCATTTTTCACAACCGGAACAACACCTCCCTCTCCTCATTCTTTGCAACCAAACAACATCTCCTCCGATAAACTAGCCAATACTATTATTATTAATATATAATGCTTAACCTTTTTTAGATTTGTGCTCTATGGAAGGCTTAGAGTCAAAAGTAGCCGAGCCGACCAAGTCCCCATTGATAAGGAAGAAGATGCTATGAATACGGTACGGTGGATCCCTTTTGTTGTTGTTCTTGTTGCTCATAATACCTTATCATTCCTTTTCTTTGATCACCTTCCTCTAATTCGCTCATCATCTCTTTCTTTATGGGTCCCAACTATGTAAAACCTACAAAACATGTAAAATGAGTTATCATACACATGCACACACATACTAAGTTAATATCACTAAAATAGAGGTGTGAACTGCAACAAATATCCGATCAATACACATACACTTGGCATGACAATGGAGGGAGTCACATTTTGATGATGTCTTCTTTAGTAAGTGACGGGGTAACGGGAGGTTTGAGCTTGGTGAGATTGAGACCCACAAAATAATCTATAATCATCAATTTGATTGGAGCTAAAGGGGCTACTAGGTTTAGATGTGGGGTGGAGATTGACAACTATGGGGTAGAGATCGGGCAGTTCAAAAATTTCCAACAAGAATTGTTTAACGGAAGAATTGTAAGAAATTTAGAGAGAAAGTAGAGATAAATCAAATAGAAAGAAACCCAATTTTCCTAGAATTTAATCATAAGCACTTTTCCTCTTTTGATTTATACAATAGCAATTTTGGTTTTTTTTTTTTTTTTGAAAAGAAGGATGGAACTTCGCGATAATAGGGTGGGATAAATTTGTCTTTTTGATTCATATTTTAAATTCTAAACATCATTTTATTGTTGAAAGTGTTTTTAATTTTTTTTTCGGACTCAAACACTACTTTGGACCCATATCATCACGTGTTCATGCTTGATTGGATATTGTTAGTTTTAATTTATCACGTAGGATGAATATTTAATAATGTTATAATGGAGGTTCCAACTCAACAAATTTATAAGAGTAGAATGTTTCAATCAAGCTAAAAAATCATAAAGGGTCTTAATAAAAAAATTCAAACCGTACGAAGACTAAATGTAAAGTAAACTTGTTCTTTAAGTAATTCTAGGAAATGATGTTTTGGGAGTATTTTTTAGAATTATGTGGTGAATTGGATGCACGGTTTCTCTTTATTTATTGATATGTTATTTTTAGTTATCGTTTGATTATCGAAATGAAAGGTCCGAATAAAAATACGAAATCGAATGAAAATTAGAAAATCGGCATGACATTTGTTTTCTCGTATCGTATTTGAAATACTAATAAGGAATTATAATGAAATTTAAATTTTTTTAATATCTAGTTTTTAATACGAGTGGGATTTTTTAGAAAAAGAAGGAATGGAACTTCGTGATTAATAGGGTGGGATAAATCTGTCTTTTTGATTCATATTTTAAATTTCAAGCATTAATTTATTGATAAAAGTGTTTTTAATTTTTTCTCGGACTCAAACAAGTACTTTGGACCCACATCATCATGTGTTCATACGTGATTGGATACTATTAGTTTTAACTTGCCACGTAGAATGAATGTTTAATGACGTTGTAACAGAGGATCCGACTCGATAAATTTATAAGAGTATAAGGTTTCAATCAAATTGAAAAATCATAGAGGGTCATAATAAAAAAAATTCGAATTGTACGAAGACTAAATGTAAAGTAAACCTATTCTTTTAGCAATTCTAGGAAATGAGGTTGTGGGAGTATTTTTTGGAACTATGTGGTAAATTGGATGCGGGGTTTCTCTTTATTTATTGATATGTTATTTTTAGTTGTCGTTTGGTTATCATAAATGAAAAGTCTAGAATAAAAATACAAGAATCAAAATAAAAATTAGAAAATTGAAATGACATTTGTATTCTTATACCGTGTTTGAAATACCAATGAGGAATTATGATGAAATTTAAATTTTTTTAATATCTAGTTTTTAGTGTGAATAAGAATAATAATTAAAAAATATAATTTCATCAACTATAAAGATAATAAAAATAATAAAAATGATTGTGGTAGCGGCGATAACGAGGACGATAGTGAAGTAAGAAGAGGATGAAGAAGAGATAATAGTAATAACAATAATATATTTTTTAAAAAATTGATACCATCACTATATGAGGTAGCAATAGAAGAAGAGTAATGGTGATGATGGTAGTAATAATAGTGGTATAATAAAAATAATGATGGTGGTGGTGGTAGTAGAGAAAGAGTGGTGATACAATAATAATAATAATAATAATAATTTCTTTTATCATCATTGTCAATGGAAATGATTGTAGTGGTAGGGATAGAAATAGTTAATATACAATAAATAAAAATAATCTATTATTATTTTGAAGAAAAAAATTTCACCTCATTTCTTATTTTTATAGTCACCTTTTATATAAGAATGAAATTATGTATAGTTTTTATTCTCAATCTCATTTTATTTCTTTTAATAAAAAAACTATAAAATAAAAATAAAATTTATATTTTTACTTTTACCATTTTATTTTTAGTAATCAAACAACATCCTAAGATAAATGTGCTTTGGACTTCGGACTATTTGACATGGGATGACCACGAAAAAAGATCTGATTCCATATGCAGTTGGGAGTTATGACATATGTCATTTCCATTCTAACCTCATTTCATATACTCAGGATCTCCTTTTTTCTAAATTCTTTCATTTTCTTTTAAAAGGTAATTTATGTGTGGAATTTTTGGCTCGCTTTGGGTCCTCTCAGAACAATTCTTTGAATCTTTAGAAAGCTTCTTCTCCTGGGCTTTCTTATATTTTGGATGCTAATAGAATATGCATTATTTTTAGGATAAGATATACTTAAATTATTTACTAACATTGTTTTACTAAATAATGAGGCAGATTGTCATTGCGCATGATTAAAAAGAATTTATTTGAATAAATTTTTGGGATAAATAATATCACTTCACTCATCTACAGATAAATTTAAACTTTTCTTTTATATCAATGCAAACAAACTTAAACTTAATAGACTATCATATCCTCTTTTTATTAAAAAAAAGGTCAATATATAGTCTGATAAATAAAAATGAAAAAGTTTGATAGACAATTTAAGAGCTTGATTTATTTATTGATTTATTTTTGGTTAAAAGTTCTTATAAGTACCTTTATTTTTTATTTTGTACTAGTTTCTTTCTCTATATCTTAATATATATTTTTTTAATTTCAAGTTCTTAGTTAGATCCTTTTTTAAAAAAATCAATATCCCTAGTTTCTAGTAATCAACATAATAATACGGGCTCAAATTTATTTTAAAAATATTTTTAATCCTCTTGATCTTGAATTTTTTTGAAAAAAATTTATTCTTATAAAATATTATTAGCATTTTATAAATTATATATATAAAAAAATTTATAAATATTTTTAAACCCCTAATTTTGAATTTTTTTATAAAATATTATAAACATCTTATACATTTTTTTATATATAATTTATAAAATGAGGAGGGTCAATCCTTAATTATGCTCATTTTAATTTATAAAATATTATAATTTATATTATAAATATTTTAATGCTCATTGGATATGATAAACATTTTATAAAAAATATTGTAAAAAAACATAATTAACAATGCACAATTTTAGACATTTAAAACAACATTTTTTTTAAAAAGTTCAAGATTATGGAGGTTAAAAATATTTTTAATTTCTTTTTAAAAATAATTAACAACGGAATGTTAAAACGACGTCGTTTTAGTATTTCAAGTAATGATCGATTGATCGTTACATATAACCGCAAATAGAAAAATTAGGTTAATTTTGCCCAAAAACCAATAATTTGATGTTCAAATTATGCAATTTGGTATTAAGAGCCCGAAATTACTAAATCATAATAGAATGAGAACAAAATTTGTCAATAAATCTTTTTTTCAACTATATATATTTTTTTGATCGAAATACCTTTAATTGAATGCAACAAAATAAATATCCGAAGACTTGAAAAATAGAAAATGCATGTCATGTGATTTAAAGTTTTTTTTTTTTTTTTTTTGTAAAGAAAATTTCGAGCAAAAAAATTGTCCATGATCATAAGATTTGATCGGAATGACAAATTAAACATTTCAAAAAAATTTAGAAACATATGAAATGCAATTAAAAATATAAAGACAAATAGAAGAATTTGAATTTAATATAAAGCTAGATTGATTTATTTGCCCTAAAAATTTTTTGTACATTAATAGGCCAAAAAAAAAAAAAACCCAAAGAAAGAAAAATATAAAAAGCCCGTTTGATTTTTAGGAAAATGAAAAACTTCATTTTAATGGTTTTTTTTTTTTTTCTAATTGTAGCAAAATAATAGTCCATTAGGTGAAGATGTAAAAATGGGCTTTGATGTGGTGAAAGTATCGATGTCCATGGGTTTTTGTTCTTATTTGATAATTAATTCTAATGATGATATCTTTAGGTACTTGTTTGGTAATCAAGAATAGAATGATAAAAATGAGAATGAAAGTTTTATTTCCACGTTATAGCTATTTAGTTAAAAGGAATAAAGTGAGAATGAAAATGAAAATTTATACATAGCTTCATTCCTATATAAGATGTGAGAATAAAAATAAGAAATGAGAATGAATTTTTTTTCAAAATAATAATATATTTTATTTATTTATTGCCTATTAACTACTTTAACCACCACCACCACCACCGCATCCAGCACCACGACCACCTCCACCACCATCACTAGAACCATCACCGTCATAATGCCATAATAACCACCACCATTATCTATATTATTTTTACAATCATTATAGTGTGATAAAATTAATTTTTAATCATTATTTTTATTTATATAAAAGACCAAATACACAGTATGAAAATACAAATATTATTTCGATTTCTATATTTTCATTCTAGGTTTTTTATTCATGATAACCAAACCACATCTTAGGGTTTGATAAAAATAATCAATATCAAACATAAGCCAAGCAGCAGTTACTTAAAGGTCACTTGCTCACGATGTGAGAGAAGGGAAGAGAAAAGAAAGGAAGATGAGGATGTTGCACTGAGAAAAAAAGAGGTGATTATGAGTTTGTTAAATGCAATCAAAGGTGTTGCGAGGATCTCATTAAACAAAACCAATCTCAAGCAAGTTGTACGTATCTTGAATTACAACATACTGTAATCAAGGAATTGTAAGAGATGACATCCAATTCTCTTGTTGGAAAATCCTGATACATCGTCAATTTGCATATCAAAACCACATGCAAATTCAGTTTAAACAGAATAAAAAATTTCAAAAACCAAAACCAATTAAAAAACCAAAAAAAAAAAAAAATCAATTCGGTTTTTTTAACATTTTTTAGTTGAAATTCGGTTCAATTTTTTTTATTAAAACGAGGAGTGCTCACTCATGGTGATAATCACGGTGATTCGGATTATGAAGAGAGGAAGAGGGAGAGAAATTAAAAAAAAAAAACAAGGAGAGAGAAAAAAATGAAAAAAAATTTGAATACGTGTTAGGAGATTGTGTTTGTTATTGTTTGAATGACTCGTAAATTATGAGAAATTTTATAATACACTAGGAATAACTAGTGGTATATACGATAGTTACTCCATGAATCCACTTTGAAGAGAGATAGACATATAAAAAAAAAGAGAAAGAAACAGGAGAGAGAGAATAAAAAAATTTGAGCGAACGTGGAAATCTTTTTAACACTTTTGATGAGTATAAATGTAACCTTAATCTTTTTTATGTGTCTATCTCTCTTCTCAAAGTGAATCCATAGAGTAATTATTGTATATTTCACTAGTTACTCTTAGTGTATTATAAAATTTCTCGTAAATTATAGCTTCCAATCAAAAAAGAAACATTAAGATAAATAAAAGTAGAAAAGAGAAATTAATGCAAAAAAAAACAAACAAACAAACAAACAAACAAACCTATACAAGCTTTAACTTTTTTCTTTTCTTTTCTTTTTTTAGATGATTGATTACCTTAAGCGAACCAAAGTACGTAAGCAAGCCTGCTCTTCCACTGTTCCGCGTGAGTACGTTCTCCATACAGGTTCCGCACCGAAATTTATCTTTACGATTCTGCCCCCGACCTTTACAAGAGTCTATATTTATTGCCCACTCTACTTCAAATTATGCAAAAAAGAGACAGCTCCTCCTCAGCCATGGCGGTGCTCCCTTATACTGTTGCTTTCCTCCTTCTTTCCTTCTTACATACTGTAAATTTCGCTAGTAAGTTTGTTTCTCTTTCTATTTTATATACATGCTTCCATTTCTAAGGAATTTAACTTGGCTGCTGCTCTCTTCTTTTCAGTTTATTTTTAACTTGAAAACAAAAAATGTTGTTGTTCTGTTCTGTCTTTTGGAAACTTTTTTTGATTACCTGGTTTTAATTTTGCTGCTATTCGTGTAGACTCGCAGTCATTCATCGGTATAAACTATGGCCAAGTTGCGGACAACCTCCCACCGCCATCAGCCACAGCAAAGCTTCTTCAATCCACTACAATCCAAAAGGTTCGATTATATGGATCGGACCCGGCCATAATCAAAGCCTTAGCCAACACCGGAATTGGAATTGTTATCGGCACAGCAAATGCTGTCATTCCAGCTCTAGCCTCTGATCCCAATTTTGCTAAGAGCTGGATCAGCACAAACGTGCTCCCCTTCTATCCAGCTAGCAAAATCATCCTCATCACTGTTGGCAATGAGGTCATGACTTCCAAGGACCAGAATATTATGAACCAGCTCTTACCAGCAATGCAAAATGTACAGAATGCTCTAAACGATGCGTCGCTCGGGGGTAAAATTAAGGTCTCCACCGTTCATTCGATGGGAGTGCTTAAGCAGTCTGAGCCGCCTTCTTCTGGAAGTTTTGATCCTTATGGGGATTTGATGAAGGGCTTGTTGGAGTTTAACAGTGCTACTGGTTCGCCTTTCGCGATCAATCCCTACCCTTACTTTGCTTACAGAAGCGATACAAGGCCTGAGACTCTTGCTTTTTGCCTTTTCCAGCCGAATGCAGGACGAGTGGATGGAAACACCAAGATTAAGTACATGAACATGTTTGATGCTCAGGTGAGAGTACATTAAATTGCAAGTGCGAAAATTCTGAATCAGTCATGTTACTGATAAGTGGTTCATTCAATTGCAGGTTGATGCAGTTTATTCTGCACTGAATTCTATGGGATTTAAGAATGTTGAGATTGTGGTGGCTGAGACCGGATGGCCATATAAAGGAGATGACGACCAAGTAGGGCCAAGTATTGAGAATGCCAAAGCCTACAATGGCAATTTGATCGCGCACCTTCGATCGATGGTGGGCACTCCATTGATGCCAGGGAAATCAGTGGATACATACCTCTTTGCTCTATATGATGAAGACTTGAAACCCGGACCTGGTTCTGAGCGATCATTTGGACTTTTCAAGCCTGATCTCACCGTAGTTTATGACGTTGGACTCTCTAAAAGTAGCCAGGTAAGAACCAAATTCATGTACATTTCATTGGTATTTCAACAGCGAAGTGTTCCACTCCTGAGCTTTCCTTTGATTTGGCATTTAATTTGTACGTGTTTGGTGGGGAGGATGATTTTAAAGCATCACTGTTTGTTCTTTAAAAGGATGGACGGTTCCTTTTCAAGAAAAAAAGGCCAAGTTTTTAAAATAATAATAATAATTGAAAAAACAAACACCTCCAATATATATATATATATATATATATATATATACATACTGATTTTCCATCCTAAAAATTATATGATTTTTAAAATATACCCCTTCTTATATGGCTCTGTTAGGAAGTTGACGAAAAAGCTTGTGATTTCCTTCGAATCCCTCTTTTATCTTTCTAGTAATTAAAAAAAAAAATGGAAAGAAATGTTCGAATCTCTTCTTTTACTTAACATCATCATCATCAGCAACAACCATTCAAATCAATTCAAACTAAACCAATAATTAAACTGAAAAAATAATTTTTGAAAAAATTCTTGCAAATTGTACCTACAAAAATCCATTCAATTTATTGAAACAGACCCAGCCACCACCACCACCACTACCAGCACCAGCAGCACAACCACCACCGTCACCAGCAGCAGCCACCACCAACAGCAGCTACGGCAACAATAACAGCAGTACCAGCAACTACAGCAACAATAACAGCAGTACCAGCAACAACAGCAGCAGCAGCAATAAAAGAAGATGGAGTGCTTTTTGGTGGATTTTTTTAGAATTGGGGTTTTTAATTAGGATTTCCAGGTTTCTTGTATGAATTCATGAGACTTTCTTTGATTTGATTTTCTTTTATGGCTTACAAGCTTAGAATCAGAGGCTGAAGAGAGAAGAAAAGAGAAGATGAAGATGGGTTATTTTTTATTTTTTATTCTTCTCTATTAAGAGTTGCTGAGGAAGAAAGAGGGATCATCAGGATTTTTATAAGTTTTTCCATCAATTCTGTTGTTTAGGAGCAAATTAAAAAAAAAAAAAATCGTAATGTTTAGGACTAGATATTAGAGTGTTTTTTTTTTTTTCGCTCTTGAGATTTGTTGCCATATTCAGCATGTTCTGTATATTTATCTTGAGCCAACTGGCTCATTTGGTAGAAATTTGATCCTTACAAATTGTATCAGAAATCTCAGTTTTGGTAGATTTCATTGGTGAAATTGTAACTTGTTTTCTCCACTATTTCTTTCAGTTCATCTCAGTAGTTATAGTAATTTATGAAGTTTATTGACTTGAGCTATCATGCTTTAAGACTCCAGCTACACCAAAAACTCCGGCAGCGCCATCTCCAACTCCGGCAACTCCATCTCCAAAGCCGGTGAAAGCAACATGGTGCGTGCCTAAGTCTGGCATATCAGATGCCCAATTGCAGGCTAATCTGGATTATGCTTGTGGACGAGGGATTGACTGTGGTCCGATCCAACCAGGCGGGGCTTGCTTTGAACCAAACACATTAGCATCACATGCTGCTTATGCCATGAATCTCTTCTATCAAACTTCTGATAGAAATCCATTGAACTGTGATTTCTCACAATCAGCCACTCTTTCGTCTAAGAACCCCAGTAAGTTACCTCAAAAACACTTTCATTCTTGGTTTTACTAATCCCTCTTCATGTCACTGCATTTCATATTCTACAACCTGTGTAATATTCCTCTACTTCTACTTTACTACAGGCTATGATGCCTGCACTTACCCCAGTGAATGCACCTGAAACTTAAGAGGACTCATGGACAGTCTTTTGAAGGTGATGGGTGCTTTATGCCATTCTTATTCACACCTCAAGTGGAGAAGTCATCATCCTTTTACTAGTAAAATAGTGATGGTAGACATATGTAAGCATGCGAAGAAATGTACGTACAGCATTTTATGTTAGAAAGACCTATCCTTCCCATGTATTTGTGAAATGAGTCGGTTAAATTTCTTACAGCTGGGTAATGCTTGAGGTTGAGCAGGAAGATTTTGTGACTTGATCAATGCAAACAGCAGTAATCCCTATAGCGTTCTTGCAGGTAGTGAAAAAAAAAAAACAAAAAAACCATATCGATAAACTTAACACATTCATATTCCACAAGGTTGCCTCTTCCATAATTCATATCCACTTAACCTGAATAGCAAGGACACAGAGAAACAGGAATATTCACGGATTCCATTGAACAAATAGCCTTTTCCTAGAAGAGCAAGGGCATAATAAACAATTGCAAAGCATGTAATCGTTGAAAGGATTCAGAGAGTCCTAAAAGCTTGCTTTTTGATGTGGGTAGATGGGCATTGCTAATGAACATACCCAACTTTTTTCACAGAAGAAATAACAAGCAACCAAACCCAACATGAAGAAATTTTGGTGCCAATTGGAATGGAAACGACGGTTTAAGCCATCATTTTGACACAGTAGATTGTATTTCATCATTGATTCGTAAGGTCTTATATGAGATATGAGATACGAGAGTGCAAAGTTTCATACCAGATACGAGAGCAGATGAATTGGCTGTTAAAAGTATCACCTTCTAGGAGCACAGAGAGATTGATATCAAAAGAGTAGCTTCTACAGTATGTTTTCAACAATTTTTGAAACTAGAGCAGATATGATATTGCTTTCGAAGGTCGAATATCAATAAGCATTTAGATTGCTTCTTTAGCAAAACCCTGGAACCGCCATATGTAATTGTACCAGACATAAAAATGAAGTAGCTTCGAGTTCAACTCGCACTGTTCTAGTTAGTCTAATATGGGAAGTGGATAGCATGGAACCACTAGCTTGAAACAAAATTTTGGTGCAAGTCTGAACCGTTTTTTATACTTGTTTTCATGACAACTCATGTAATCCCTATAGCGTTCTTGCAGGTAGTGAATAAAAGATCAAAAGGCAATGAAACCATAAAACACTTAGCATTCATTAACAAAAGGAGGTTCTTCGCCAAACCTAAAACATCAACAGCTAAGCCCACCATCTGTTCACTAAATTTACCCACTGAAAAACGGCAACGTCTTAGAAAAGCCATTACAAATCACAGGAAGCTCAAACACCAGTGGATCCAAACCCTCCACCGCCTCTCACTGTTGCATCCAAATCCTCAACTTCCATAACATCAGGAGTCACAATCTTCTCAATAATCAACTGCGCAATTCTATCACCAACCTCGACCTTGAAATCAGCATCAGAATGATTAAACAAGATAACCCCAACTGGTCCTCTGTAGTCAGCATCTATGACACCAGCGCCCACATCAATTGAGTGCTTCCATGTCAGTCCCGATCTGGGTGCTAAATTAACAAAACCCAATTTTAAAATCAAAATCAAAATCAAACCATCTGTAAACATAAATTAAAAGATACAAAGTGAGATTTACCAATACGAGCATAAGTTCCTTCAGGTATAGCAATACACAAATCTGTAGGGATAAGGGCCTTTCCTCTAGCTGGCACCTCTGTCTTTGTGGCACTGCACAACATTAGAAACAAAAACCCATGAATTTGCTGATAATCCCGCACCCTTTTGATAAATGAAAATGCTGGAAGAGAGTTTTGCTTAATACCTGGAGAGATCATAGCCAGCGGCAAGGGGAGAGCCTCTGCAGGGCAAAACAGCATTTTCAGATAGTTTTTGCACTTTTAGGAGAGATGATGGGACTTGAGTAGCCTCGTAGACGCTATTTTGTTGGAGCTTGGGGATTTTAGGGCATGGCTGTTCGATTTTAGGGCGGTTATTTTGTTGATCTGCTTGGACCATTTTGAAGAATTTAGAGTTTGGATGGTAACACAAACGGAGTTGAGAGAATGGAGGATAGGAAAGATTTTGGGGATTAAGTAGGGAGAGAGTCGCCACTGGCCGGAATTTCCAATTGATGCCGCCAAGCCTTCCCGCCATAATTTTGGGGATTAATTAGATTTTGTACTCTCGAAGCTGCAGAGAGAGTACGTGCTCCGCTAGGATTTTGACTCGGTCCGCCCTTCGAGAACTTCTTCTTGTGTTGTAAATGGGCCTAGGGATCCATATATAGATAGTCCAGTTATGAGTGGTGGCTGGGCTTGTAGGTTTTATGGTCCATTGGAATGAACCCACCACATATTTTTTGTCCATTGGATAATCTAATTAACCTGATGTTTGGTCGACTGAGTGTGGAAGATTTAGGAGGGCCGAAGATGATGTTCAATTCGAAGGAGGAGGCGGTGTGTGCGTGGAACAGAGGGGTTTGTTGAGGAGAGAGAAGGAGAGTTTTCTGAAGAGGGTGAGATCGTGGTGGTGGAGATGGAGAGAAGAGAGCGCGGCTGTAATTTTAGCTCATCCTTCCTTCTCTACTATTAACACCGTCTGTTACCGACTGTTGCTCCTCCGCTCTGTTTGTCTCTGACAAAGGTGCGTTTGGATTTTTTTTTCTTTCTCATCTTCGATTTCTTTCTCCTTGTTTTCATCGTTTATTTTCGTCAGGTGGGACTGTGTTCTGCAAAAATTGGAACTTGGAGCCTTTTGTTAATTTTCTGAACTACCAGACTCCAATTAGAGATGCTTAAGAAGAGGAAGGAAAAATGCCTTCTGTAATGTTAGGCAAAGCAGAACAAAATTCTGTGTATTGTCTGTTGGTTTTGGCCCGGCTTCTGATGGATTTTATCACCCGAGAAAGTGGTGTTATTTAGAGTTTTGTGTGTTGGGCTTGGCCCGGACCACTATTCTTGACCCACCCGTTACAACTTATCCTGGACCTCATCCTCTGTGGTTGTCTACAGAACCATAAAACCCTGTAGTTTCTTTCTCCTTCACCGCCAGCCAGCAGAAAACACAGAGAAACCACACCATCACAATCATCCCACAAAGCAAAGTTTCCCACTCTCTTCGTAGAGAAAGTTATGCCATTTGTTTTGTTTATGTTTGGGAAATAAAAAGCGGCGAGTTCAGTTAATGCCATGACTCGGTGGTTCACTGAGTCGACCACGAGAGCTCCGTGTCGTGACCAGACCGAGCCAAGTTGGGGTGGCACCTGACATTGGCGAGTCAGGGGGTTGTTGTTTCGGTTTAGGAGGGGCAAAGGAGATGAGGGCTTTGTTGGGGACAGAGGATGAGGGTTTTCCGAGGAGGCTGAGGTCCTGATGGTGGGGATGGAGAGAAGAGAGGGTGGCTGTGATTTTAGAGAAAGAGAGAAAGGAAGTCCGATGCTGAATTTAAGTCGTTTTTTCCCTTTTTATGCTGCAGCTGTTGCAGCTGCGTTCAACGTATGGACTGATACACACATTGTGAGTATGTTTATCCCTTTCCACTTCGTCCACATCTTGTGATAGAGTGGTTGTTTTCTTAGTGTACTAATGAGTGAAAGAATTAGCTATATTATACAAGATTTTTGCATCAATTTTGTTCCTCATCTGATATTTCATATCTTACAAAATGGCTTCCTGTATCTTCATTAGAAACTTCAGCTTCTAGAATTCTTGAACAAAAAGGGAAGGCAAAAAGATCATATGTACCAGTATTGGTTGTGGAAAATTACAGCATCGGTTTTTTCTGGCTTCTCATCATTATTTCTGTTCCAATGCTAGAATGCATGTGTTCTGTTCCTGATCTCCAAGGTGGGATGACCATAACTAGCATCTCTGAATACAGAATGCTCTGGTTGTGGATCCAGGAACCTAATAATAAATTTCAACAGTTTGCCCAACCTTAAACAGTAAGATTTATGTCACCTTCGAGCTAGACCTTCCTGATTTCCCACATCTCTAACAGTTAAGTACGCTGGTGCTGATTTGTCAGGAACATGATAACGGTCACCAAATGACACGTTATAATGTATATTTGAGATAGGATACTGTAAATCGAGAATACTGATTACCACATAAGGAAAGACTAGATAAATGCAGGATTGGTGCGTAAAACAATATACAGCACCATTAGCATTAGACTATAAGGGGTTGCAACTCCATGGGTTCTGCTTCACAGCTCAGTCAAGGCACTTAATTTTGGGAGCATCATGCATCATGAGATAAACAAGAGAAAAATATGTAGTGCCTTTTCTTTTATACTATCTTCATGTTACTTAATTCTTTGTATAGGAATGGCAGGGTATTCAAAATTGTTGGGGTGGGCTAAATTTTTTTCTTAACCATGAGGCTGTGTTGAGTCACAGGTGTAGGAGCAGCATACCAGCTTGCAATCTCCAATCATCTATTTCAAGAATTAGCTCCTTCTTCCAATAAAAACTTTGTAAATGAATGTTTTTCGGGGATTGTGTGAAGTTTCAGGAGGATAATCGAATCAGATTTACCTTTGGTGTAAGAGGAAGGTATAAATACCCCCCAAGTTTATTAGCTATATAACTATGACCAATTATAGATAGGTCTATAGAAAGCACGAAAATGAGGAAAGTATGTACATACTGATCTTTGATAGTCATGAACATGACCAGCAAAAATGAAGTCGATTTTGGCTTTCACGAACCAACTTTCATAGACAGTATGCATGCTTTCAATTTCCACACAGTGGGCTGTATTACTAATGTAGATGTGCACATGCATGATAACAATGATCCAAGGTGTTTTCTCGCTGTTGACTCTTGTCAATACTTCGCTATGCAAAGCGAGATATCATCATGATGGTGACTTGATAGATTTCAGGAACCATCGGAAGTGTTTGGAGAGTGGGTTTCAACTTCATTGCCATTAAACGAGGTACATGAAGAAATGAGCCTGTGATTGTAGAAAAAAACTTAGGTGTTGTATCATTATGGTAATGGAATTCTTGTCGGTTTGGCCATAAGCTTCTTGTGTTAATTTTTTACAGTTAGTGTCCTGAGGGCAGATTACCTGCTATCATGTTAACATGCACATTCAGCTAATATGGACTTATGCTTGCAGAGCAAAGTTATATTGGTGAGGACAGTCTAAGAGAATTGAAAGTATGAATTTTGCTAATTACGTTTATAGGAGGATTGGTAGATTGGATTTATTTGCTTGGATCCATTGGGTTGAGTCTTACGATTTTGATGCCTTCGTTGTTTGTGATTCTCATGGCAAACTTAGCTATACAAAGTGAGATATTATCATGATGGTGACTTGATAGACTTTAGGAATCATTGGAACTGCTTGGAGAATGAGCTGCGACTTGGAAGGAGATGCATGATGTAATCACTGTTTGATCATACAGAAAACTTGGGTTTTGTAGCATTATCGTAATAGGATTGTACTGTTCATTTGGCCTTATTTCAGAATCAGACCCTCCACTGAGTTAGTTTTGGTAAATCGGGCGATTTGTTGAGATCAAGATTTGTAACCATTTAAGACAGACAAAACATTCAATAAACGAGAAAGAAACATATATTTATGACTTCATATGTATTTTTTCTTCTACAGAAATAAGTTCTCGATTCACAACTTATTTATTTGCCTCTTGCAATCCATGAACAAACTGGCCTATTCTGGTAAGCAATTCCCAACTTATTTATTTCTCTTGCATTAATCTGTGAAGTGGCTGGCCTACTCCGGTAAATAATTCACGTGGAAGGTAGAATATGGGATAGATTTAAGGCTAGATCGATCCATGCTGGTTTAAATAAACTCTTGCAATGCAGTACTTGGTTTTTTATTTTCCTTTTTCTTTTTATACAGATTTAGAAATATTACCGAGTTGCCGCCTAACTAACTCTACTCCTCTAGCCAAAACAGCAGCACATGATGAACATTTTTTTTCTGATCATACAACTGTCTCTCTCTTAAGGACTATCAGAAATGGGTTTGTCCATTTGATTTTCACAAGAACAGGCTTTGTAAAAATTTTTTGGGAAAAAATAAATTCATAAAAACCATAAAATACAGCCATATTTTGAGTTTCCTTTTACTAATTTTGACCCAAAGTCACACTTTTGTCCTTTCCTAAACATTGTTCAGCAAATGAAGGATGCAATCTGCCTAACCGCAGCTTCCGGGCTACAACATGCTTAAGCAAACTTCTCTGCCGAATCTCAAACCAAGCTAATAGAAATATTGCTTCATCTCACTTGTCCTTTTCCCTATTTTCCTGAACATTGGTTTGTTATGTAATTTCATTATACTTCAAGAGTACTCTATGTCCAAACCGAAGCATAATTTATCAACTGCTCCAGCTCAAGTATAGAGTTCATGGTGATAATGCTGTGATTTGGCCTTCCATATAATTGAAATGAAAAAAGAAATAATAATGAAAGAACGAGACGGCAATTTCAAGCTGATATCTCTAGCCAAACAAATATAAAGTCAATTATAGTGTTCATTCATAGGAAGTGCTGAATTTTTTTTTCCCCACTCTTTTTAGTGCCGAGAAATAAATTAGATTATTGCAACTTCGCATATTTTGTGTCTCAAGAAGAACGGCATACGAACCCTATATTGCTTCTAGAATGATAAAATAATCAGAATTTAGGATCGAAGGAGCTGGAGTCAAAGAGAGGATCATGGGTCTCAAAAATCTTATAAATACAACTTGGCCTATAGTTTTGGTTGCCAGACTTGCAGTGTGTAAAAGTGTTTCCAACAGGGGCTCTGTATCCCATATAAAATATCACTAAGGTTTTGCTTTCATGCCTTCGGACTGCATGAAGTGAATCTACACACAAGGTTTGTCATTGGCAACTTGTCATGTTTTTATAAAGACAAAGATGAGTGTATAATACTTTAAGCCTTCATGGAGGTATATTTGATATTAAATCCCTATAGACTATAGAGAGAGAAAATGTTGTTTATCAAATGGGTCTATACGTAAGGTTACACACCCCTAAATTACACTTGTATTTTCAGCTTCCAGCAGTATTTGCATTTACATACCCACTCCTTGTGTCTTTCCAACCTTAAATAGCAGTTCACACTAGTTAGAAATCCGCGTTACACTCGTGATCATAAAACCGTTACATATATAAGGTTAACGATTTATATAGTATATTGTGCATAAAATTTTTATTTTTAATGATTAATGTAGATTGAATATATATATTGAGCGAAATCGTTTCATTTATATATATTTATTAACAAAATATTTAATAATATTAGCATAAAAATTTATATTCGAATAATTAGAAGGTTCTTTTAAAACATTATCTAACTTATTTTATTTTAAAAAAAATTAGACTATGAAAAAATAAATAACAAATAATTGGTATTATGTTTGCGAGATATATAATTAACATATTCAAAGTATATAGAATAAAAAAAATATTCAAAAGAAAAACCACCTAAACTCGTATGAAACATAATGAAGTCAATAGATTAAAATAAAAACTATAAAAAAATTAGTTATGATAAATTCTGAATAAATATATGTAAAAAAGCATAGTATATAGAGTAAATAGAAAAATATACAAAAAAATCAATCTAAACTATATGAAATATATTAAAGTCAATAGATTAAAATAAAAACTACAACAAAATTAGTTCGATAAATTTTGAATATATATATATATATATATATATATATATATATATATAAGCAAATAAAACTTCTCATTTTTTAATTGATTACTATTTTAAAAAAAAAATTGAACCAAACTATCTAAAACATACTTTTAGCTCTCTCTCTCTCTCTCTCTCTCTCTCTCTCTCTCTATATATATATATATATATATATATATATATAATCAAATTTATAATTATAATAATATATTTAAAAAATAAAATATTCATTTAAAAGCATGAAATAATTTATTGTATAAATTATAATAATATATTTTTAAAAAATAAGGCATCGGCGTTCTAAAATTTTATTCCAAAATTCATATATTAAAAAATCAAATTTATTAACAAATAAAATTATATCAAAAAATTAATTTGATGAGAATTTTAATAAGAAACAAATAATTAAAGAAATAAATTTTAAACAATAAAAGTAATATAATCAAATATATATGTTCAAACCAAAATTTAAAAAAATATAATATATATTCTATCATCCTTAAACTATACATAAAATAAAAAAAGATAACGATTTATTTTCTATATTTTTCATACCTAATTTCATGATAATACACGCACGCGCGCGCGCACACACACACATATATAAATGAAAAAGATGGCCAAGCGTCATCTACCAAAGAAAAGAGGGCCGAGTGCGACGGCCAATCGCCAGCAGCCTAGGTCGTTCAACCCGAGCCAAAAAAAAAAAAAACAAATTGCTATAGTAAATAAATAGTAACAATCCTGGATCTTTTAGTTTTTTTTAGTAATGTCATCTTAAACAAACAAATAAAGCCAATTAATCACCAAAAACTTCTTCGACATAACATGAACGCATTTTCTTTCCCTTACACTTAAATTTCAAAAATTTTATGCCCGATAAGATTGCTTCCTTTTCTTTTGTTTTCTAGAGAAGGACAATCCAAGTATCATCAAGGATGAAAGACATAGCTCGCTTTTCCTCCGAGATAGTAAAGGGCAAGCTTTATGAGGTGAAAAGCTTCACACATTTGAGAACAAGTTTATAAACATTGTCACCGAGAATGAGGTTATCATTGATTTACAACAAGATGTTCGCATTCACACAATAACCACAAACATTCTTGCTATCTCGAGATATGTCTTCTTCCTCACTAGTTATTGCAACCTCTTAACCAAGGGTCATGCCTCAAAAACTCTTTTAGGTAACCCAACAAATATAATATATGTATACTTGTTCATGAACTTTTATAAATGTATGCCCATGATTTGTATAAAAAAGAAAGAGCCTTTATTTTGGATTGTATCTTCTATGGGAAAAAGGTTCTTACACCTTTAAACATTGATCACTTCTTCCTTTCTCATGAAATACCATAAAAGATATCCTTGGTCGAATCAAAGTCGTTCAACCTCTCCAGGACGATTCTTCGTTCAAAGTACACGACTTGAATACAAAAGAGATATTATGATTGAAAACATGAGGTCCTTCTCTCGTTAACAACTTTGTTTTAATTCTTCAAACAAAATTCTTAATTAAATATTTTCCTCTCTAAAAATGAATGAAGATCTTTGTATTACCCTCTAGGCCAACCTTGTCAAACGTTTTAAAGAAGAGGTTGTTGGTACACTTCGACCACCTATCATTGCTATCATTGTAAGTTTCGGAATAGGAGAATTCCTAAGTAAATAACTTGCTACATTCGGTAATTTTACGTTGCATATTCTTTCATTATCCCGATAACACATTGTGTTCCCTTCAACACACTGCAG